GTGAGTAAATAACTAAAACTTAAATCTATTGACAGAAACTGACCATTTATTTATAATGTCCCCCCACCTCTTTTCACATTTGTATTCCTGGAAACTCCGACATACAAAAAGCATGGCAACACCAATGGATAAAACAAGCTTTCAATTACAAATCACTATTTTTGCACAGTTAACGAGACTAGCTATGCATTTTTGCACAGTTAACGAGACTAGCTATGCATTTTTGCACAGTTAACGAGACTAGCTATGCATTTTCAAAGTAATCTTCAAGCTGTAAACTGACAGCTATACAAAGCCACTTGGAATCTGGTTTGCCACATATCATTGTTTCCGCTACTACATTACTCACTACCTAACTGTGCTCACATCCACTGTTTGGTTTCTGTAAATATTCAGCAAGCATCAATGAGTCAGTGAGTGCAATTTTTCTACATAGAGAAATTCACCTCTGCTATGTACGCACTTTTATATCAGATGCCAATTTGGGAAACAGCCATTCTAACAAGACAAAACGGATTATGGGTTATCGGTGGGAAGATTCAACCTCGACTGCCATACCACCAACCCCTGCCTACAATCTTGTGGACCAACACGTTAAAATAGAACACATTACTTTCAGAGCAATCTTGTACATTGATATCATTTTCTTTTAAAATTTCTAACATTGGTTCACTCATCTACAATGATTAGGAGTTAAAGACATCTGTACATTGTAAGATGGCATACACTCCACATCTGTACATCGGAAGATGACATACACTGTACTTGAATTTAGATCCAAATCACTGTCTGCATAAAAGGATATTTTGGTGCTCCTGACAGTCTATAGCAGGATTTCCCAACCAGGGCAATAGCGCCCACCAGTGGAAGATTTCAACTGTTGGGTGGGCGATGAGCAACTGAACTGCAAATGGTGGGTGATTGGAAATTTTGGTGGGCGATATATGATTTCGAATATTAAAAAGTTATTTCAATATGTTACTCAAAAAAATATTCAAAGGAGATATGCAAAGAACCCATAAAGAAAAGCAAGAGGCTAAATGAGAATAACTGGAATAACCTAGATATGTTTTGGCTGGTCACTCATATCCAAATATGCCTGTCTACGAGGGTGGCTAGCCAATCCCTGTTGCAGATACCTGCTCAGGCACATTTGGGGTTTGTTCAATACCCACAGAGCCCACCTGTGGTTTATACAACTATTATGAAATGGACAAAGTTGGACAATTATTTTAAGACATTTTTATATTTATACATTTTTTTTTATAGATACAAATATTTAAGTAAATGCTCTGCTTATAATAAACAGTATTAAACAACATTTACCAGCCAGAATGTCCGAGAAATTTTCACAGAAATGACAGTTCTGTATAGGACACAGGTTCGAATTCTGTTGGAGGACAAATATTTTCTGTGAAAATTTCCCAGACATTCAGGCCGGTAAATGTTGTTTAATACCGTTTATTATACACAGAGCATTTACTTAAATATTTGTATCTATAAAAAGAATGTATAAACATAAAACTGTCTTGTAGAACTATGCTGAGGCTGAGCAGACCTTAGTTACAGTTTCTGGGAAAGAGTACATTATCTGGTGTGATCAACAGTCTGGACAAGTACACTTAAACACTTTGTGCTATCACAACCGTTGAAGGCTCCCAAATAGTTTTGTCTACCCAATTTCACTCAAGAGGCTTGGATCAACCAGTGGTACGATTTTCAAAAGGTGCCACATGCTGTGATCACCACCTCCCCAGGCTCAAAGTCACTTTCTGATAAATCGACCACAACGAAATTCAAACTAGGGTCTCATGGTCGAAGAGAAAACATTGAACCACTTGGCTATGCAACCCTAAATATCCCTGCAAACAAGGAATATTTTGATATTTTTTAGTCTTCGGATATAAATCAGGTAAAGGCAAACCAATAACACCTTTGCCAGTAAAATTAACAAGCAACCGGAGGATAATTTTTATTTGATATAAAATTGTTTTTACATATTTTGTTTATCACATTGGCCATCTCAAATTTATCAAGGTGGGAAAAGTGCCTGTCAAAACATAATTGACTCATCACAAGATGCTTTGGAATATTTGCTATACAGGTGGGTGTTGGAAAATCTTTCCATGTGAAGGTGGGCGATGACACAAAACACGTTGGGAACCTCTGGTCTATAGCAATGTTTTTTCTTTTGTTCTCATGGCACACCTGAACATATAATTAAACTTCCACCACACACTTAAATTATGATGATAAAAAAAGAAAAGTATAAGTGTATACTTTTCATGATTTATTCATAAGTAAAAACAAAACAATTTATTATCATTTGTAATGAAAATATAATTAAAATTAAAAAAAAAAAAAAAAAAACATTTATTTTTCTATTTTTTAGCATTTAATGAGATAATTATTTATTAGAACAATATACTTATAATCAATTTAAAGTGATTTTAAATTTCATATCTACACTTATTGAGCTTTGTACTAAGAATAATTAAAGACCTCTAAAAATTTTTGCAGCACATCACTGGTCTCTAGCATGAATTAACCCTTATTCACAACATTCTTCTAGCAATTATTTACATATTTAATATAATTTGATATATGTAACATAGATTACTGTAAATTATTAAATAAAACACCATAGTTGTGTGACGGGATTTGTCGACAAAGTGTTGTCATAAAAGATTAAATAAGCAATCATCTGTGTGTGGCCCAGGGACAGATTAATTCATTCTACATTGATTCCTGTGAAAATACTTTCAGATTACGAACACATAGGCCTAATGCGAAAAGAAAGCTGAAGAAATTGTAAGTATATATATATATATATATATAAGAAAGGGTGTTCCAATAACTTGCACCAATTTTAAATGTGATTTAAGTTTAAGAGTCAAATGATTTCTTTTCTTTTTCTTCCAAATTTAACAACTTAAGTCTTTGGCAATTTCGACCATGGAAAGATTAACAATCAAACAACATTTTAAAGTTATCAAAGCCTATTACGAAAATGGACATTAAAACACAAAATTTCATGCACTTCGCCATTTTTTTTGGTCAACATAATCGACCAACCAAGAGGTTCAATTCCTGTGTGCAATGACAAATAATGGTGTCTGGATTTTTGGCCACATTCTCGTGCACTGCAGCAATGTTTTCAGCTGAACGGCATAAATGAGCATGCCATGGGGTTTTCACATCTGCCACTGACCAGTTTGTTTTAATTTATGAACAATTTTTCCAATTGCACTCTTCAAACTTTAACACGTTTGATTGTTAATCTTTCCATGGTTGAAATTGCCAAAAACTTAAGCTTTTAAAACTGAAAGAAAAAGAAAAAGAAAAAAAAAAATCATTAGACTCTTAAACTTAAATCACATTTAAAATCAGTCCATGTTATTATTGGAACACCCTTTATAAGGAGGGTGGTGATGAAGATCTTACAGGAGGTGCAATGTAAAATAAAAGTTAATGGCAAATTGAAAAAAATTTCAGCAGTTGCTACTTCTGTTCATTTAACACTAACAGCCTTGGAAAAGGTAGGAATCTAATTCTCCCTGGATTCTGTTCCATGTCAGATATCTTAGCAATATGCCATCACTGGCATTCAATGATGGTTGATAGGGAAGATAGGAGGCTGATGAGAATTTAGGAAAAACTACTCCCTTATTGCCGAAGCAGTAGTAAATTAATAAGACAATAACAGGCTTGCTTTCTGAGATGACTTCGTAATCTACACAAAGTATCAATTTCAGAAATCTGTATATAGAAAGACAATATCTATTTTTTTTTTTCTCAAACGTTTTAAGGTTTTGAAAATTAGTTCATAAATTTATCAACACTTTAATCTACCAGGTCCTTTGGAAAAACAGAGTGGATTAAAATATTGGTGTGTGAATTTGGTGGCAAAAGTTTGATCCTTAGGCTGAGTAGTACAAATGTGAATTCCGTGGGAAAAGAGCAAGCAATAATTGAGCTGTGTCAAAAAAGACCACAGTGAAGTAACTCTGGACATGAATAGTACATCTTGAGATTCTTGACAAAATTCAAAGTGCCTGTAGTGTAATAGATTCCAGATCCGGCATTTTGACTTCAGTTACTTTCACACTGACGTGACATGGCTTCCCTCTGTCTTTTCTATAAATATTTTCATGGCAACTGTTCTGATGAGCAGTTTTCCATAGTGTCGTGACCGTATGAATTTTAGTGTGCTACTAGATTAGAAACTGGGTCTATGTTACTGTTATGATACCAACAAAGATGAGGTGCATTAGTCCAGCTGTAAGTAACAACACTACCAGTGTTCAATGTATATCCAGTGATAATAGGCAGACATGTTTTTTCCAGTACGTGTCGACAGACTACCTACCTGTACCAGCATTCACCCGAGTTGGGTTGAGCCGGCTCCAATATTGGAGTTTCAAGGGTATTTGGAATTCACAAGCGGTCCCCAAACCCACACGTATAGCACATGAGATTTGATTATAGCCGTGAAGGTTTTGTGCAGGACCAGCCACACTTTTTGAAGGGCTGATTACAGAGACCTGGTGCACTACATGCCACAAGGTCCCCAAAACAACCCTCCGCAGGTTTTGAATTCAGAGTTTTTCTTCTCCTAGACCAGTTGCCATCAAGGCTATAGAACCCAGTCTGTCCTGCTATTTAACCATAGCTGGAGGGAGAAGAAGAGGATTCACACCTTTCCCAAGGGTATTAGCATGTAAGTGAATGTAATGGATTCAACTGGAATTCGAACTCGGCTCTCCGATTCCTCAATCCAAGCCGCTATCCATTACTCCACCGTGCCTCCTCATAACAGACTATCAATTAGCCTACCAGCAAAAGTCTCTGGTCCCTATGAAAGAGCTAAAACCCAATTGTTTCATACTATGCATCAGACAAAAGTTAAATAGTGCTTCAGTCAAGACACTACGAAAACAACAAGGTATTATTTCAAGTAATTCATGCAACAACAACAAAAAAAAAATTAAGTGACTAACCTGGGCTGGGATAGACAATGGTATATTCTGTATTGCATTGGGGACACCGGACCTTTGTTGACAGATCCTCCAGTTGCTGGCCATCAATCCAACGCTGGAGGCAAGCGTTGTGTACCCATTTGGTCGACCCCCGACAGCGACATGGCTTCAGCCAATCACTTGTTCCTTGACTATCTGTATTATAGCAGATGTAACATGTCCGCCTGCAAAGTAAATCAAAAAGAAAATGACTTCAAGCATGAACATTATTTTCAATTTTTGTATGAGGATCAGCTGAAAAGTTCATACGCTGACCAGATATAAATGCAAATGATGCGTATCTTCATATTATTTTATGTTATCTTAACATTAACTCATGACACTTTAAATAATTATTTTCATTATGTCACTTTTTCATATAAAAATCTATTTGTTGTATAATAAAAATGTAAACAAAACCAAAAATGAGGTTACTTACATTATTTACATTATTCAGACAGTTACCCTCATCTTCATTGTCATATTCACAACGTTTCAGCCATTGTACACTCCGGCCTTCTTCAGGTGATTGGAATTTCAAACCAAAACCTTTATTTCATCCTTTGTTCTAGTTCCACATGACATGCCTCTTCTGAATGTCTCAGTTATTTCCCTTTAACTCAACTCTCCAAGTTTGGTTCACCATTACCAACCACCTGAAGAAGGCTGGAGTGTACAACAGCCAAAATATTGTGTATATGGCAATGCAGATGAGGATAACAGTCCAAATAATGTAAATAATCATAATACCTCATCTCAGAGATATAAACAGATTGAAAAATAAGGTTGTTTATTTTCCACTGAATTGGTCAACATTTAACCACAAACAACACAAATTCTGTTGAAGATCATAGAGCTTGACTATATTAGGAGATATGAAAATGTTAGTATATAGTGTCAAATGCCAAAATCTGCCATTTTGAATTTGGTCCAACCTCAGTAAAACCCTTGTAACTAAAGCCACAATCAAAAGTCCACCACAAAATTTTCTACATATCTTGCCATAAGGCAGACAAATTTGTCATTGTTTTTGAGAAATTAAAGGTCAAATTATCTTATTTGACCTTTAAACAAAAAGGTAAATGGATCACCTTTTAGTTCTATTCAAGTACTTTAAAATGGTATATAAAATTAAACTTTGTGGGTGAAAAAACAATTGAGATATTGATATTTAAACTTTGTGACTAGTTTCCAAAATTCAACTTTTTGACAAGGGTCAAAGGGTCATATCTCAGAAACCCTTTGACCTAAAGATGTAAAATAGATACCATTCACTTCCTATCATGAAGCTCTATAAGTGAACCAAATTTGAAAATAATCTGTGTTGGTGATGATCAGACCCTTGTTGATTTGACACAGAATGACTCATGAGTGTTCTAACCAAATGAGCAAAGACCCACTGTGCCACATGTGTGCATTGTGAAGTGGTAAACATAATATTGAAATTTCTGCCACAAGCAAAAATTTTTGATTGTTCTAAAATCAGTTTTTACTTGATAAACTACTAATTTAATCCTATCTGTTGATATAGCTTGTTTGGTGCCATTGTAAACATTTTAACTATGACAAAACTGAGGAAAAGTTCTCTAAGAAAAATTAAGTCATAGAGATTTTTTTTTTTTTTTTTTTTTTACAGCTTATCAAACTTTTGTGGGTTATTTAAAGTCAAAATATATTTTGGTTTGTAGGAGGTTGCTTATAATTCCTCATATTCCCAAGCAGTCCCCCCCGCCCCATCTAAGTATAGACTGGGATTGACACTGTTTAAATTTGGTGATCAAACAAGAACCGGTGTTTTTAACGGGATTTGACCATAAGCACATCATTGGGAAAGCATTCTGAAAGGCATTTTTTAAAACCAGTATCATTTTAAACTATCAAAAGTTTTGTAATGTTTACACTGAACAGATACAGCTTATGAGAGAATATTTAGAAATAAAATTAAATTTTTTTAAAGATTTATTTCTTTGTTTTCAACTGCCTACTCTCTGACTATATCACATGAAAGCACCAGTTCTCATTCAATCACTGAAGTTAAGCAATGGTAAGCCTAGTCAGTACTTAAATGGGTGACCACTTGGGAATATAAGGCAACATAAGCTTGTAAGTGCAGGGTAATGGATAACAGATGGGAATGAGAAATTGGAGAGCTGAGTTTGAATTCAAGTGGAGCTTGTTACATTCACTTCTGTACAAATATCCTTGGCAAAGATATGAATCCATCTCTTCTCTCACCAGCTATGGGTTAAAGAGTACAGCAGACTGGCTTCTCTAGCTTTGGTTTGTCAACCAGTCTACTGCAGAAAGTAATGGCAGCCTACTGTGGAAATCTCTCTGCCAAGACAATCATGAAACAAAAACAGTCATGATCGCCCAGGCATGTATCCCAAATGACATAAGGAAGAACCTAACTGAGACTTCACAAGTTCAATGGGCTTCAAAACTTTGTGAGCAAATATAAAAGGTTGGGGAGTGGGGGGAGCAAAACTTACACCTTTTGAAACTTTACTATGCACAAATAGGTTAATTAATACATAAGGATATTGATAAAACTCATAATATTGAAAGCAATAAATTTATTCAGTGTGGCTTCCATTATTGTCAATTACAACCAGAACAACCTTGAAAAACAGCACATGTTTGAACCATGCAAATTTCTTTATTCATGCTAGAATGAACTTATAGGTGGCATGTTCCAAAATATCCCACACAGTCTAGCCTAGTAGGTTTAGGTCTGGGCTCTATCAAGGCTAGAAATCAGCAAATTTTACTGAACTTCTGCACCTTCTTGGATGTGTGGTTGGGGGACCACTCTCCTGGGTTCATACAGTTTTCGCTTAAAGTAGTTGAACCATAGCAAAAACATGGTACCTCAAAAGTCTTCTCATTCTGTTTCACTCTTAGTAGCCACTTGCATCGGGTGAATTTTGATTTAATATATATATATATATATATATATATATATATATTAGGATATTAAAACAAAACATGTTAAAAATCGCTATACAATTACAATAATGTTTCAACACCACAACTGTGTCTCCTCAGGCAATGTCAAACCACTAGTTAGAAAAAGATTAATTTAATTTCAAAAAAGGATTTGCTGTGATTAATCAATCAAATGTGACCTATGCTAAATTCAAACTCACTAGAAAAAAAATTTAATATCGGTCATAAAACAATGTTGTTTGCATATAAATCCTAGACAATTTCTTTATGGACAGATACACGTTGTTACATTATTTCACAAGATATATCAAAGTCTGACATTCTACTTTCCAAATAAGTAAACAGCTAAAAGGGGTAGGGAGGTAATTTAACACAATGCTAACCAGTTATCTACTCATTAAGCTTCTTACATAAAATTTTATAGTTGTTAAATAAAAGGCATGTTTAAGAAACTGGTCCAAAATAATATATATATATATATATCCTCATAAACTTACTTTTATAGATATACAGTAGCCATATACATTGAGTGGCTCTTAGGACAGGATTTGTATTGAGTGAACAATTAATAAAATAAAATAAAAAATAAATAAATCACTGTCCATGAATGAATAGATAAGTAAAAAGACTTCACCTAATGAGCTATGCACTCTACCCCAATAGTTTAAAATAGCAAATAATGTGACAGCTCAGACTAAAAGAATTTCAATTATCTTGAAATAAATAATAATTAAAAAAAAATCATGTGAATATTGTCATATTTTTGTGTACTGTTACATAGAAAAAAAAAATGAATTTACAAAAATTTCTAACATAAAAACATTGCCTACATCTTAATTCACCGAATGCTTTTTTTTTTGTTTGTCAGCCTCTATCATCGCATAACTCAAGGACAGCAAGAACTATGACTACCAGCTTTTCTATGGCTACCAATTCAAAGCATGTTTATATTATGTTGGCTTTAGAAAGACGCAGAGCATAGTGGTTATAGATTTCCATGTAGCTGAGCAGAAAATGGAACTGGCATATAGAATTGATATTTCAGCAGTTTGTTGCATTTACTTCCACACAATAAACCCTTGGGAAATGGCATTAACCATCTATTCCCCACCCCCAGTTATAAGTTAGACTGTGCTGTCTAGCTTTGGTTGGCAACTAGTCTACAAACTCAAATCTGAACTTAAAACCGATTGGGCATAGAGCTGGCAACTCTAATCCATAAAAACCTACTTGTTGCAGAAAGAACCATAGCAACAGCCCGTGTTGTGAGGCTGTGGCTCTATAGACTATAGGAGAGTTTAATGGCACTAAGTTTATTTTGTGAATATAAGTACACTGTATTGGAGAGCTGAGTTTGAATTCCAGTGGAATTCATTACTTACATGCTATCAAAAATTTTTGCTTGTGGCAGAAATTTCAATATTATGTTTACCACTTCACAATGCACACATGTGGCACAGTGGGTCTTTGCTCATTTGATTAGAACACTCGTGAGTCATTCTGTGTCAAATCAACAAGGGTCTGATCATCACCAACACAGATTATTTTCAAATTTGGTTCACTTGTAAGGTTCATGATAGGAAGTGAATGGTATCTATTTTACATCTCTAGGTCAAAGGGTTTCCAAGATATGACCCTTTGACCCTTGTCACAAAGTTTAAATATCAATATCTCAATTGTTTTTTCACCCACAAAATTTAATTTTATATACCATTTTAAAGTACTTGAATAGAACTAAAAGGTGATCCATTTACTTTTTTGTTTAAAGATCAAATAAGATAATTTGACCTTTAATTTCTCAAAAAGTGTATCTTTAATTTTTTTAAATTTGATAACAAATTTGTCTGCCTTATGGCAAGATATGTAGAAAATTTTGTGGTGGGCTTTTGATTGTGGTTTTAGTTACAAGGGTTTTACTGAGTTGGACCAAATTCAAAATAGCAGATTTTGGCACTTGCCACTATATGCTAACATTTATACCCTTGGGACGGGTATAAATCCTCTTCTCCCCCCATCTATGGGTAAATAGCAAGACAGACTGGGTTCTATAGCCTTGGATGGCAACTGGTCTACCACAGAAAGAAATGGCAACCTATTCTGGGGAAAAAAAATCTGCCTCGTCAGTCATGTATCAAAAGATACATGATCGTTTAAGCGTGTATCACACATGGCACATAACCGACTGTATTCCCTTGAATAAGTACCTGGGACACTTATTCACAAACTGAACCTTTTGGAGAGGATGCTTATTTGCGGCAGGGGGTTCAAGGAGAATACTCACATGTGATGGAATTGAAACATCTTTATAATTTGTAATGATTCTGTTTATCCTTTACAAATTATAAAATCAAAACGATATATTTTCAAAATAGGAATAGTCAAACATTTTTCACCAAGACATACAAGTCTGGCAAAAGGTGATATGATTCCTAAATACTTGTGACAAACGAGGATGTTTCCAGACAGTTCAACTGCAGTAAATAAGTTTTCTTTTTAGTCGTTAAATACTATCCTACCTAACTGACTGCTATCGAGATCACAGTCATTAGCCAGACCAAAATAAAACCATGAACTTTTAATTTTCCCTGACCCAGAGTTGATAGAAGTAAATTTTATACACATTTGGAAGATGTCACATTTGAAATTAAAAATTCAGTTTTTCCCTATTATGAAGAGAGACTGTACTTAATTGAGAGGAACACTTATTTAAAAAATACTTCTTGGAAAAAAAAAAAAAAACCTATATCAAAAGGACATTCCCTGGAGACTACTATTACTGTATACACTTTTGAGTCCCTAAACAGTGTTTGTCTTAAAAAGCTATGATTAGAATTTTAATAAAACCCAAACATTTGAAAGTGGATTTATACATTTTCTTTATTCTTGAGAAGTGACAAAGATATTAAACACTATTAGCTTGAATAAAAAACTTGTTTTCATAGTTATTTATAAAATAGTAAATAATATTGCACTGTAGTTGGTTTACATATTTTGATAATTTTGTAAGTTTTTTTTTTTTTTTATTAATTTTTTAATAAAAAGATTTCTTTTCAAATTTCTTTCTTTATTAGTTAAATAATAAAATATATCATTGTGCTTGGTTGTTATAGTCGTATAATTTTGTAAATAAACACTGTCAAGGGAATCAAATGTGTATGCAGTAATCACAGTGCTAAGGGAACAAGTGTCCTTTTGATCCACCAATTGTTTTGCAGGCTCAGAGATTAACATTGCCAAAGGCACTTACTTGAGGAAATACCCTAATAGTAAACTGGATCTTTACTTTGTGTCCATCAGTTTAGTTATCCAGAAAGCAAACTTAGGACATTTTTTTTCCTATCACTGTCACTGAAAAAATAAAGACTTAAAAACAAAAATTGTTGTTTACAGCTGTAATATGATTTAAGGCCCATGATGTTATATGCAGCCTTTCCAACAGCCGTAAGGTCCACTTATCAGTAATCTTATACGTGGATGCTGGCTGCATCATTTTTCTGTTCTGACCTCACTTTGTAGGACTTGTTCCTTCATCCATTTACACAAAATTGTGAAATAGATTATATACTGCTTTCTTCTGTTTTGACTGAACCTTGTGAGTGTTATATTCTCTAAGCCTTTTTTCTTCTTATCAAGTCTCTTTGTAGTTTCTATTCTTGTTAGAACAATTCCAGTCAGCTTCATTACATTCGCTTATGTGCAAATTCTCTTAAGAAAGGGTATTATCCACCCCCATCTATAGGTTAAATAAATAGTAAAATCAATTTTACTCTCAAAAAAATTGTTGATGCAATATTCACATGCAAAAAAATAAATAAATAAGAAATTAATTATTCTTTCAATCCAGAAATGTTTTGTCTTTAATAAAGGGTTGATAAACTGTAAAATATAAATCATTTAATCAACAATCTCCTTAGAACTTCTTCACTTGTTACATATTCTCTGCAATGTTAGTCTCAACATTTGTTGGTAAAGGCATATATCTTCCAGTCATTTTTTTTTTCATCTGTGATAAAATTGTCCCACTTTCAATGACATACAGGAGAGTAGACATCACAAAGCAGCTTTGTTTCTAATGTTTTTTCCAATCACTCCCTTTCTGAAAAATGCCTTTCACTATTCCCATAAGTCTTCATTTTTC